GGTCGGGGGGACGGCTGTGTGCTCTGCCTGGCAGCAGCAGCTGTTGAGTACCAGCCAGCTTGTAATGGCCGTCTGCAAGTGCTGCTGCGTCCTCTTTCACCCCGGGCTTACGGCATCAGATTTGGTGTTTCCACAACTGGTGGCGGCAGCAATTCGTTGACACGGAGTTGCTGATAAATTAGAGGGAAGCAATGGGAAATTTTACCGCTGTGTCCTTCTACAGAAACTGACACTGGAAGACAAACTTGAATGTTTCTTTCTGTGCCATCAGATTAGGTCAGTATCTGCCCCGACCGGTGATAACCCGGGGCTGTTTCTGTGGAATGAGTCCAAGATGACCCTTAACATTTTCGCCCTTAAAAGATTAAAAACAGTGTACTCTTGTATATGACTCAAGCTGAGATTTATAAATTCGATGTGTAATATTAACATTGCCATTAGGTGTCACTTGAGGCCTGGCAATCTCGGCCTTAGTTGTTGGAGTGACTTTTATCTACTCTGTACCCAAAAAAAGAGAGGGAGGAGACTTTTCCCTTTAAGGAGACTTTTCTCACTTTAAGTTCACAGTGAGACAGGATTATTCACAGAAGTGGCCAGCATGTTTTTCTGGGACAGGGACCAAAATCTGCAGTAGTATTCTGTTAAGAAATAGTCACCCTTTTCAGAGAATGAGCAGCCACTTTTAGAAACCATGTTTGTCCAGAATTGAAGTAATTTAACCTTTAGCTATTTGAAGAGCACGTTGTATTGTCCATAAAACACACTGTAATTCTTTAACTTTTGTTATTCCAGCCGGCAGTGTCAGTGGGAAATGTTGGTCAGCTGGCAATAGATCTAGTGATTTCCACACTTAACATGACTAAGGTTGGTTACTTCTACACTGATTGCCTGGTGCCAATGGTTGGCAATAATCCATATGCAACAGCAGAAGAAAACTCAATGGAGCTGAGTATAAATGCTGAAGGTGGGTATTGAATGCTGGAGATATTTACAAGCTGCATAAGGTGCAAGAATGTCACATTTACTTTTTGTTGTTGTTATTTTTTGCTTCTGTGAACAATGTTTAAACTAAGGTCAGTAATAAGAACTTCAGTAACTTAAAGATAAGAATGTATTTATATTTCACAGAGAAAACCGTTCCTCTTTTTATTTTGGATAACCAACTTGACATATGGAACCAATAAGAAATACTGAATTTCAACCATGTTATGGTGCAGCCAAAACTCTCTGCAGTTTTAATCCAAAGCAACACAAAGTGTGCACATACTTACAGTAAACTGCTGGAATGCAAGCTGAATTTCTGGTGTAGAAGGATATTTATCCTCTATTCTTCCTTCCCACTTGTATTTGCTTTTTTCCTTATGTGGTGTTTCTCCCTCTTCCCCCTTGAAAAAAAAAACTTTCCCTATATTGATCATTGTATTTTATCTTTTTTTTCCCCTCTTAAACATGAAAATCTCAGAATAGTCCATCAGTCTTTGCAAAGCTGCATAAAGAGATTATCTGAATCATTACAAAAGGCAGATTTTTTTTTTTTTTTTTTCATTCGATCCTTTGGATTATGACAAGTGAAATTAAGTTCAGTGAAGACAATGCTCAAAAATATGCATTTTTAACACTGCGGATATTTTCAGGCTTTCCCATATGAATTGATAGCTGAAAGGTTTACTATGCTGATGTTTATAAATTGAATAAATCTGGATACTTCTAAACCCAGATCTCTTTCTTGTTTTCTTCTTACAAAACTTAATTATTTCTTCTTGCAGTGTATTCTTTACCTTCAAAGAAGCTTGTAGTTCTGCAGATCAGATCACCTTTTATAAAGGTAGGTGTGAATGTTCATTGATTGTTCTTACTTCAGTATTCGATTTGAATAGTTCTGCTGGCAAATAGTTTTAAGTGGCCTACGTAAATTGTGAAAGTAAATAAGCAAAACTAGAACAATTATGCCACATTATAAAACATTTTGTTTAAAAAAAAAACCCCAAACCCCCCCAAAAAACATACTTAGAAAGAGCAACATGTGCTATAACACCTTCTGCAGTTGATACAATTTTAGCTAACAAAAACTTGACTCCTGCGTTCATTGTGGGTTAAAGTTTTGTTTTGTTTTTCAGAGCCTCAGAACAACCCACCTGTGTTGGTAGATTTTAGTGTAAATATGTCCTTAGTTATTAACAGCCTTGAAAAGACAAAATGGTCTGGATTTTGTCCGTTTCTTTTTTTTCTTTACACTTACTATCTTTCTGTGTTTGTCTTTTATTGTAATAGCTTAATTTTTGATGTCACTCCAATTTAATTATTTCATCATGTTCTATATTCATTTAAACTGCATTCATTATGTAAAAAAAAAAAAAAGAATTTAGAATGACTTGTTAAGAGGACAGTGGCTATAATTTAAAATAAGCAGGGTAGCACACCAGAAAACACTTTCTGCTGCTGTTTTTAGCAGTTTAGAGTGTGGAAAAATACTGTGTGATCCTACCATCCCATCTTACTCTAAAGCTTTTTCCATTTTTTATTAACAACACACAAAACAGGTGGTACTGCTGCTGTTAACATGGTCTCAATGATAACTTTTATCATTATACATGTACTTTTGATTAAGTAAACAACCAGAGCAGTTCTCTGCTTTTTAAAAATGTATCTGAAGCTGAAGACGTAAGTGGATATGAAGAAAAACACACATGACTGGTGAACATCCTGTGTAACACCGAGTATTATTGGCTTTTGGCTTTTTTTTTTGGGGCACAATATATTTTTCACTTTTTTTTTCTCTGTCTTTGCATGAAGAACAAGTACAGGCCATTCTGTCAAACACTGCTCTCTTGGGTGAAAAGCAGCAAATGTGCCAGAGTCATTCTTCTGTCTAGCAGCCATGCGTACCAGCGTGATGATGAGCAACTTCTTGGGTATGTTTGCATCACTGACAGACCTAACTAATGTTTCTGCTCTTTTTGACAAACTGACATATTTCCCCTCTACTGAGTGCTTTTGCCAGGGTTCTTTTGCTTTGCTGTGTACATAGGTCATAAAATGTTCTCGTAGTATATTAAGTATTGTGTCATACAGGATTAGTTGCTGAACGTTGTTAGTTACCATGGTTGAAAGGGCTGAGAAGATTAAGAAGCTGTAAGTAAAATGTGCTTGGCCTGCACTGTCGGGCACCAGAACCTTGGTTTTAACTTCCTAATTTCTTGTGGCTGCAAGCAATGCCAGGGATGAGCTGCTAACATAAAGGTCACAGATTTAGATGTTCAGCAGTTAATTAGAATATGGGTTAGTTTCTTACCTCTTCTTCATTATTCTGCATTTTGAAGATTTTCTTTAATATAGTAAGTTGTTCTTTTTTTATAGGAAGTTATCAGTTCTTACTTGTTGGGAGGGAACTGTGTGATAGTTTCACTAGGCTAGCCCTTGGCTAGCAGCCAACACAACCATTCTTTCAGTCACAAGTAGTAACACTGGTGGTGTCCTGTTGTCAGACTGAATGTGTTCTTGATTTATCCCTAGGACACCACTACGCTACCTGCTTACACCTGATCTTGAGAAAGCAGTTGGAGGCCTTGTGCAGGAGCTAAACTGGAAAGAAATGGAAAAAGTAGCAGCCTACCCTGGAATAAATGATACAGAAAAAGTTCTACATATTCCTGGAGGTGGCATCACAAAACTGTTGTTTACTGAGAGGTGAGTTGCCTAAAGATAAGCACAGAAAGATATTGGAAGTCTTGGTTTTAGGACGTGGGTAAAATTATCTTTTAAACTGCTATGTAATAGGACAAGGAAAGTCCCTCTTCTCATAGAAAAAGAGTTTTATGGGAATAGAACTTCCAGATATGGGTAAAATTATCTTTTAAACTGCTATGTAGGGACAAGGAAAGTCCCTCTTCTCATAGAAAAGAGTTTTATGGGAATAGAACTTCCAGATCAAGCCCGTAATTAAGAGGAAAACCATAGGGAATTCTGCATCATAAAGCTAAAATATGATAAAAATATAAGTGATTGGGCTAAAGGAAAATAATAAAGCCTTTACTAAAGGCTTTATTATTTATTTTTATTTTTAATAAAGATTGTGATTAATCTGGTATCTGATTTTATGCAAACTGCAATTTGTAAATAGTAAAATTTCTGTACCTGTGATACTTGAACTAAAATTGTCTCCTGTGACAAATAGTTCCATTATCAGTTGTGGGGAAAAAATAAAATTGAGCACTAAGAATAAGTTAAGATTTCAGGGCCAGCAAACAGTTAGGTGTGAGGTTTTTGTTAAAAGGTGTCTGCATCAGAAGCTGTGCCAAACGCATGCCTGAGTTTCAAATTTTGGATAGTAAAACTTACTCATTATGGTAAAACTGTGTTAGTTCTGCAAAAGGTGTTTCTTTTGTAAGTGTCGGGTGAAAAATTCACTTTTATTTTTTTAAATATTGTTTTTGACACCTGTCCAAACTGTTGCATCCAACAGTGGGAGAGTTATTAACATCATGCTCACTTTTGTACTGACTTCAGTATAGAAACAGTATACAAATGCAAAACAAAAGACAGATTTAAAATATAATACCAATCTTAATATCTAAATGACAAAATGGTAATATTGTGCGTAAAGTAGTGATATGAAGCCTGCAAAACAGCTGTTTGCAATACACAGAAAGGGAAGTGATTGTATCAAAGGATCTGTATAAATGCCCCGTCAGCACAAAAGTCCAAACTAACTGCGTGAAACAGGCCCTGAGTAACTAACTCTTCCATGACCCAAGATTCCTGCCTCACACAGCAAAGAGCAAATTCAAAACTAAGGAAAAGAACACGAAGTGTGAAAATGAAACCAAGCAAGTCTGGAGAGGAAAATAGATATTTCTGTACACATGCAAACGTTTGTACTTTTTGTTTGGTTTTGTTTTGGGGTTTTTTTAACAAGCTGTATGCAGATTGCTCTGAATATATAAATACAATTGTTCTGGATTTAGAAAAGAAATAGAAATGCCTCCTCATTTTTGTTGCAGCTGTTCAAAAGGAATCCAAATGGCAGTTCTTCTAAAATTCTGCTCAGAAGGGGACAACATCCCTGATGCGTTTGCTCTTGTTAACTATCTTAATGAGTGGCTCCAGTTAATTAAAGGCGAGGTAAGTGCTGTTTGATCTAGAGTTCTTGCTCCCATATTTTATATCAGTTATTTTAGTTTTTCTTCAATCTGGAACATTAAAAATGTTACTCAGCTGAATTTTAGAAAAGTTAAAAATGTATGGGTTGGGTTTGTTTTGGCCCTTGGGTCATCAAGGATATGCTAAATTAAAGATATATTTTGATTAAAATTTCACTGGAAATTTCCCCATCTGAAAAACCAAACCTAAGCCCCGGTCCCTTCGTTTGACAGGTGTGGGGGAAAATTGCATAAAGGTTTGATCAAGTTCAGTCTTCCAGTACTCTAAAGCAACCCACAAGATACTGACACTTGAAATGCTGCCCATTATTTTAATACATGTGCCAGAGACAGAATTAAATGATTATTTAAAACTTAGAGAATTATTCTGTTTCTGTTGCAGAGCAACAATTCCACAGATACTTCTTCACAATGGAAAATACCAAGTTCTTGGCGATTACTTTTTGGCAACGGTCTCCCACCTGCACTCTTCTGATGAGTTTTGAGTTCTTCTGTAAGTCACATGTGCAGTCTCACACACCTTTGAGAAGGTGATCACATAGCAATTGCCAAGCAACAGCAGCTTCATTTGTTGTGTGCACAGATTCTTTATTTAAGAAAACTTCCTTTCACATATATGGGTAGCTAATGAAATTAAGGTAACTTTCACAAGTTGACCAAAGAAATATGGTTTGTACAGTTGTTTATTGAATAACTTGGGTTTAATTTTTTTCTAATAAAATATTTTTTAAAAATCTTTTTCTTTGGTTAAGTGTTATTGCTATGGAAAAGTTTATAGTTTTAAAATTTAAGTGAACCTTCTTAATGTGGCTGAGAGCTTGAGATGGATGTGCAAGCATAGATTTTGCTATGAAGATAAAGCCCTACTCTTCCATGTCAACTGCGGATCTTGGCTTTTTTTCAAAACCTTCCTGGTGATGTATGTGAAACTCAGAAGTTAGTAGTTCTGCCTTCTTTTCGCAGCGCTGTTGTAGCTTCAGCTGGGGAGACTGCAAGCGATACGGCAGCCTGGTCTTATCTTTTCTGGTCTGCTCTGTGGTGTAATTTCTATTCTTCTTCCAAGGGCTGTGGAGATGCTAAAACTAAAGCTTTCTAGGTAGGTGAGCCTTCTTAGACTAATTGAGGATGCATGCAGTGCTCTGAAATATAAAGGAATTAAAACATTGCCCTGATAGCAGGCAGCCTGGTATCTGTGATTTTTTATAAGCTTAGTCTGAGACATCAGTTGTGTGATGAGTAATTCATGTGTTTAATGTGTGTAATGGTACTTGTATGTTACCAAGTTACATGTTCAGTTTTGATCATTTGGAAGTGCCTCGTCACATCAGCTTATTTAAAAGCAACTTTAAATCTAGAATTTCTAAGTTATAGCTTATTAATTAATAGGCATGACATGTATATAGGCTCTAATTTTAAATATTTATCTGCTAAATAGATTTTTTTTTTTGTGGGATTGTCGTGCCAGTAGTACAAATGATGAGGAACAACAGCAATCCTTGAAGAGATCAGTTAAAGGTGTAAGCATAGGATTCAGTACAGCTTTGCTTGAAAACTTGGGCCTGTTGTTAAAGAAGAACAGTCAGTCCAGCTACTCAGTGAATGTGACTGATCACCCAAAGGATGCGGTATTGTTCATCTTTTCGGTCTTTTGAAAGTGAGAATCATAGTGGTGCTGGTCACAGAGGACTAATATTTGAATGAATATTTGGTTACTATTCTTTTTCCACAAAACAGTAAGGAATATAAGTGTTTCCCAGTCTTAAGTCTGCTGTGCAGAAGCAGATAATGCAGGGCAAACTGAACCCTGGAGAAAGAACTGGTATATGGAGCAAATGCTTCATGTAATTGTATGTTCAAATAATGTCTTAAAATGTAGGTGGTGTCAAGTTAAATATTGTATTTGAGTCAGCCACAAACCTAGATACGTGTAGAACAATGTGAGCACAAGGTAACTGCTTTCATGAGGCTTTTCCAACCGTCTTAGGATGTTGGGGGGGGTGGGGGGGGAGTGGAGAATTAGCAACAAGCACAAGCTTTTTAAGTTTCTCAGGGGATTTTTGTTGTTTTTTTGTGACTTTTTAAATGTGATTGTATAAGCTTGATTTTGTTGGCTCTGTTTAAGCACTTAGTTCCTTTGGGATCAAATTAACTGCTTCATGTAGGGCTATTCACAAGTGTCATTATTCTAACAGCTGTGAACTTCAGCCATGCTGCAGTAAACTTCTCAGCTGTGCGCTCTGCAACCCCGTGTTGTAGATGATGCTCAGTACTGCAAACGAGTTGTGGGGTACGCGTGTTGCACTGGCAGGAGTTCATTTGCATGAAGCCTTGGGGTTCAAATACCTTGCAACATACAGACAGCAAGCCCCAACAGCGTTTGCTGCAGCTGTGTGATGCAGGCATGCAACTTTGTTCAAGATCAGGAATATATTGTGCAGAGCTAAAATATACAAGGTACTAAAAAAACCCCTTGAAATACTGAAGTCAACTTCTGTGGTTTTCAAATAATTTAAAAAATCTGAAGGGTAAAACCTTGTTTGGGCAATAAGCAGTGTTGCTTGGGCATCCACAGAAAGTTTATCAGGTAGGAAAAGTCTGTATCAGTTGGTTGTATTAATGAGGATGTAGGCTGATGTATGCCCAGTGGCATTTGGGAAGCTACAGTTCAGGAGCTATTTAGCTGCAAAACTATGTTAATCAAAATCGAAGCAGCTGCAATAATAGATTAAATTTCAGTCAAAACTTGTATGACTTGGAACAAGGAGAAGCAGCGATAAAAAGCTAGAGGAGGAAAAATGAGGATTCTGAAGCAGCAAGGAAGCATTCAGAATTTTTCCGAGGCATGGGAGTTGTTTTTTTCTTTCCTTCTTTTACTGATAAAGGTGCGGTTTCTCAAGAAAGTATTCTCTCAAATAGCTTAGATGTAGTCTGTTTTATTGTTGTTACTGTGGCTAAACCAGTACTTAAGTTACAAACGCGTTAAGAGAGCAAGCCAACCAAGGTTCTTCAGCACTCCCCGAGTGTTTCTAATGTCCTGGGACTCCCTTCGGCTTTGTGTGCTGAGCCACAGGGCAGGCAGGTGGCCCAGCGTGTGCTGACCACTGGCCATGGAGCTTAACAGGAACTGGGGCTGAAGTGTAGGTTTCAGAGAAGACAAGATGAGACTCTGCCCTATCACCCACTGTTCCACCTGCAGTTGTACATCTGAAGAAAAGCCGTTTGTGCACTAAGGAGAGAATGCATCGTCTGCATTTACAACATAATGGCGGGATCCCAAAGAAAACAGAAAGTGGCACTTGAATGTATTGTATCCTAAAAGCGCCATCATGTAGTTAACGAGCAGTAGTAGCTAGGATAGCTTTCCCGCCCCCTTGCCCTTAAGAGAGAGCCTTTAATGCCTTCTTAACCTTTTCAGCTAAACCTTGCAATAAATTTGTGAGAAAGGCGGGTAATGGAAAATATACAATTATATTAAGATTTGTTGGTCTTATTTGTTGGACTGACTGACCTTTATATCCATGTTGGTCATGAGCAGTGTCCCACTACTGGCATCTCTTTTCAGCTATTAACAAACAAGAAGTATAAGGCATGAAATATAATATTTGCAAGCAGTTAAAAGCCTTAAAGTTGTTAGGACTTGGAGCTCTTGTAAAATTCTCCACACCCTCTGAAGCTGTGATGTACGCCATGCTCAGAATTGCATCAGCATTCTCATTTCCTGAGTTTGTCTCATTTCTCTGTGTTGTGGGTGGGGGAGTGGAGAATGAGGGGGTTATATGAGTTTACACACTTCACTCGTAAAAGAGATGTAATAATATATTTATTGATATAAAATAGTGAATTAACAAAGTTCAAAGGTTAATGTGACGTTCATTTAACAGGATTCGATGGCGAGGTTCACTTGATTATTACTCCTCAGAGGGCAGGGTCAGACAAAACTGTCAGGAAGACCCTTCCCTTGAGTCACAAGGCTTCAGAAAGGATCCCCTTGCTTTCTAAACTCTAGGTGCAGCTAGATCCAATCCTAGTCCCAGGCTTGAGCAAGGGTTTATACCTAAAGGATTATCAATCCTTTATATCACTTAACTAAGATTTTGCAGTTTAGCAGCTATTAGTCACTAACCAAGGATCTGTTGCGGGAAGGAATCTCTCAACCTCGAGGAGTAACCTTGAGAGGCATCACTGCTCAAAGGGAGCTCCTGGTGTGCAGCCCGCTGTCGTTTCAGGAGAGCTCCATGGGCCCTGGGCTGTCCACTATTTATGGACTAAGATTTGCATACCAGCCATATTTCAGTCGGTGCACACTCAGCAAGCCCTCTGCTGTTGGAGCAAGTTGCACAAGACAGCCCTTGGCCATTGTGTTGTTCTCAGTCTCCTCTGATTTGGATGGGTCCAGCACAACCAGATAGCATCCATTACGGTCACCACTGGTGGTTATCACTTGAACAGAGTCAAGGGAAATAGGTGTGTGGGACCAGACTGTCACACCGCGTTACTCTGTTAGGCTGCAGTCTCTCCCTCCAGAGAGCACAGATCCTCCCAACAAGGGTGAGTTAAACCGCTGCATCCTCCAGCTAGGAGCTTGCACGTACGGCACTGTTACCTGGGACTGGTGGTTTTAACCAGCAAGAGATTCAGGGTTGTAAAAATGATTCTGTAGCTCTGTCTTCAAATTCAGAAGGAGCAGTACACACCTGCTTGCTCCACTGCAGCAAAGTCTGTTGTAAATCTTGGGTTGTAAGCTTCTTATTGATAGAAGGGATGAAGCCTTGACCGTTCCAGGCAGGCCACAAAGTTTTTTTTTTACTATTTTGTGATAAAATAATAAGCCTGTAGCACAAAAAAAGGGTAAGATTCCCTAGAGTAGTGCTCATTATTTAATAAATAAATAAATAAAATCAGGATCTGAACTGTGGTAGCTACTATCTGATGTTGCAACTACAGCTACTAAGCACCTACCCAAAACCCTCGCGACAGAGGCTGGGCTGCTGCTTTCAGGCATCACCTTTGCCACAATCTGAGGCGCTTTCAAAATGACACAATTGCAAGGAGTTTCTTGGGGTTTTAAGTGGTTAATAGAGTAAGTTGTGAGATAGAAACATGTTTTACAGCCATAAAAACATACTGGAGCTATTCTTCAAGTGCTGTAAATGAGAAAAGCAACAGAGCTTATTTTTTTAATCAGAAACTTAACATGGAGCAGAATGGGAACTACAAGAAAACACTGGGGAGCGGTAATGAGCTTTCAAAATTGGTGGCAGTTCCTCTGGGGTTCCTCTTCAAGTACAACAAACAGCAATGCAGCTTGTGTTGCTGACAGAAAGGGGCAGGAAGAGAATTCCGTGTGCGGTACAGTCGGGTGAGCTGGGGGGGGGAGAGAAGCTCGTCCTGTCCCCAACTCAGGAAACTGTTAAGGTGTTTGAACAGCAACGAGTTCAAACGTCACTGAGAGGGGGACAACAGCAGAGAAACTACTAGAAGGTGATGGCAGGTCCTGGATGTGAGACAGTGCAGTTCTATGGCTGGAAAGTGAGAATTAACCAACATACCTATGGAAATTCCTAGAAGTGCATCCAGGCTAATAAGCTGGCGAGTCAAGGGAAGGCAGACAGAAGGCTATTTGTAGTGCAAGGCAAGTCTGACCAGCCTAAAACTAGTTGGAAAAACTAACCATATTAAAAACTGAGCCAAGGGCGTAAGTTGCCGTGAGGCAGAGAGGAGAAATGGGCGT